CAAAGAGGGGGCCGGGGAGGGGAAAGGGCCCCACGGGGGGATTGTGGTGGTGCAGGGTCCCACGGGGGGATTGTGGTGGTGCAGGGTCCCACGGGGGGATTGTGGTGGTGCAGGGTCCCACGGGGGGATTGTGGTGGTGAAGGCCTCCAGGTAGTCCTATCAGGGAGTAGTACCTCTAATGGGTGATCCTGGTAGAAGATGGTGATGTAGTTGAGGTAAAAACTGTATCGATGAGCCTATCAGTCCGAGTGACCAATCAGAGATCAGTGTGTGACCTGCTTCCCGAAGCTGCGTCCCATCAATAACAGTGTACTAGTTGTCTGTACACGCTCATCACTGTCTGTACACGCTCATCACTGTACACTCATCACTGTCTGTACACCCTCATCACTGTACGCTCATCACTGTTTGTACACCCTCATCACTGTCTGTACACGCTCATCACTGTCTGTACACCCTCATCACTGTACGCTCATCACTGTCTGTACACCCTCATCACTGTACGCTCATCACTGTCTGTACACCCTCATCACTGTACGCTCATCACTGTCTGTACACCCTCATCACTGTCTGTACACGCTCATCACTGTACGCTCATCACTGTCTGTACACTGTCACTGTCTGTACACGCTCATCACTGTCTGTACACGCTCATCACTGTCTGTACACCCTCATCACTGTACACCCTCATCACTGTACACCCTCATCACTGTCTGTACACCCTCATCACTGTATGCTCATCAGTGTCTGTACACCCTCATCACTGTCTGTACACGCTCATCACTGTCTGTACACCCTCATCACTGTCTGTACACCCTCATCACTGTCTGTACACCCTCATCACTGTCTGTACACACTCATCACTGTCTGTACACACTCATCACTGTCGGTACACGCTCATCACTGTCGGTACACCCTCATCACTGTACGCTCATCACTGTCTGTACACGCTCATCACTGTAGTGGGGGTAGTTATTCTCGGTGCACACAGAGGAGGGGGAGAGTTATTCTCGGTGCACACAGGAGAGGGGGAGATATTCTCAGAGCACACAGAGGAGGGGGGAAAGGGGCAACCAAAATTACAATAGGGGCTACTGGCCACCCACTGAGAATAGTCTCAACTGTGATATTTACATATGAATAAGCCACAGCTCATTCTCCCACAAAAATGTCCGTGCGTCGCTAGGGTGTTCGGGTTTCGCTTGAAGAAAAGGTGGCAACCCTAATGTACACAGAGGCAGGGGGAGTTATTCTCGGTGCACACAGGGGAGGGGGAGATATTCTCGGTGCACACAGGGATATCTGGGGACAGTGGAGGACATTGCACACAGCAGGGAAGGAGAAGTAATTTTCTGTACAATCAT